ATTACTATTATTATTAATAATAATAATAGTAGTAGTAGCAATAATATTAATACTAATAATAATGATAATAATAGTAGTAATAATAATAGTAATATTAATGTTATTAATACTAATAATAATACTACTACTAATAATAATAATATTAAAAACTAGTAATACTAATAATAATAATAATCATAATAATATTCACAATAATAATACTAATCATAATAATAATAATACTAATACTAATACTAATACTAATAATAATAATAGTAATACTAATAATAATACTAATAATACTAATATTAAAAAAATAATATTAATATTACTACGCATACTACGAATACGAATAACAAAATAATAATAAGAAGAAGAGGAGGATGAGGAGGAGGAGGAGGAGGAAAGGGAGGAGGAGGAAGAGAGGTGGTGAAGGAGGATGAGGAAGATTTGGCGGAGGAGGAGGAGGCGGAGGAGGAGGAGAGAGAAGGAGGAGGAGAGATGAGGGAGGAGGGAGGAGGGAGGAGGGAGGAGGGAGAGGGGATGAGGAAGGAGGGAGGAGGGAGGAGGGAGGAGGAAGGAGGGAGGAGGGAGGAGGGAGGATGGATGATGGAGGAGGGAGGAGGGAGGGAGGAGGAGGAGGAGGAGGAAGTGGACGAGGAATAGGATGAACCATAGGAGGAGGAGAGGGAGGAGGAGGAGGAGAATGCTGGGAGAATGCTGAAGGGTGCCAGTCAGCAGCGAGGCCACAGCTGGACAATTACACCCCCCCCTCGGGGGGCGGCTCTCGATAGCACACTATCTCCGAGACTTGGGTTTCAAAAATGACTGGATTACACTCGACCCTGCCTCCACTCGGAGGCGCCCAGCTCCCTTGTCATTGGGCCACTTGTTGCCCTTTGGTGGGAGCCCCTTGCGCAATCTACTAAGATAATTATCTCCCGAGGGGGTGGTCCATTCTCGGCACGGCTCCGCTAGGAGCAAGAGACGGCCCCCCCCATTCACCACGGTGCCCAGACTGGCGCATTTCCAACACCACACTTGCCCGTTACGCATGGCCACGCAATGGGAGGGGTGGACATGCTTATTGGCCGTCCTCAACTCCGTGGTCACAGGGCGGGGCACGAGCACAACATTATCATTCTCGCTCAAGTGCCGCTGGGTGGGGTCCCCCTTACAGCGGTTATCTTCGAGCCCGAGCCAGTCCACAAGCGACGACCCTGGGGGCGGACCCTGACGGCACCGACGACACAGCCACGCCCCATTGGGCAACCGCCCCAAGTGGTGGCCCGACACTCGCTCGAGCTCGACAACCCGCCTGGAAGCAGCCCCCCCTCCCCCCTCGGGAGTCCGTGCACAATGCTCGCGGTCCTGCGACGCGAGCTCCCTGGTCACCGCCGCCAAGCGCTGCTGGGCGAGGGTGGCGCAGGCGTCCGCGACGCCTAAGGCCTTGATTTCTCCCCTGATGGGAGCGCTCGCCTCCTCAGCCCCTCTCTGGGCGTAGGCGTCGGCCAACTCATTCCCACGGGAGACAGAGGGAGGCTGGGAGGACAGGAGGTGGGAATGGGAATCAAGGTGGGAAAAACACTTTCGGAGGATGACAACCCCAGGGCGAGAAAGGGTAGCAGCTCTGATCCTCTGCCACCACCCCCTGAGCACCCCACTGGGGTTGTCAAGCTTACCCCCGTGCCACCCATCAAAGACAGCCTGGTTATCAGTATATATAACTATATCCCCAGTTGTGAGCTCCAAACACCACCACAAGGCGGCGAGCTCTGCTGCTGGGACGGTCTGGCGGCCGTCGACTCCCCCGTACCACCCAGGGAGGGGAGGGGAAGGGTCCGAAGCTCCAGGGGCGGGAGGGCCATGCAGTCCCAACTGGAGATAGACGCCCCACCCGACTCGCGCCACACGCGGGTCCGACGACGTGCCAGAACCATCCAAAAAACCAAACCTCGCCTCCAGCCTTCGGGCTGGCGTCACTTCTCCATTGGGACCGATGGCGGGTGGCGGGGTGTCAACGGCTCTAACACGCCAGGCACTCACATCCCCCCACTCTGGTGGGGGTGGTACAGGATTCCATGAAAGGGGAACGATCCCTCGGAGCCAGAGCGATTCGTTAACCCCTCGGTCGAGGTCGCGGATCGCTCGCTCGCACAAGTGTCCCGTTCTGGCAATCCAAGGATGATCCAACTGGGCCAGACTGGGGCACTCGTAGGTCCTATGACGCGTGGAATCTGGGGCCCCTAGATCACACCTAGTGCACATGCCGTCTGTCTGATAGCCAGCTCGCTTCTGACGATCTCCATTCCAAATTGTGGCACGCGCTATCCCCTCCAGGGCGCCAGCTTCCTGATACATACCTTTCTTATGCATGCGCTTGACATTAGTTTGCAACATGGTGAGGTCCCCCCCGTCCTTGAGGCAGGCTCCTTCACTGTGCAAGGAGGCTTGCTTCCACAAATGCTTCTGAACTGACTGGGCCAAAGCATCACTAATTTCGGTCGCATCATCGGACAGGTCGGGGTTGAAGCGCCACTGCGAACCGTCGGGGTCCTCCCAAACGTCAGGCTCAACCCCGACCCATCCCAGGGACCGAAGGGTGAGCAACAAGGCCCCCATAGGCCCCGTTACAGCTCGCCATCGGGATCGGGGCTTCAACCTAGCAAGCTTAAACTTAGTGGCCGTCCACCCCCTCCGAACCTGCTGCCTGAGGGTGGGGTTGTTGGCCCAGAAAATGAGCCACTCTTTGGCCTGGCGCTTCACGCGCGCAGCCCAAGGGTCCCCCTCCCCATACGTCAGCAGCATGACCATCGCGGTGCAGCGGCCCTTCTTTCCAAAACCAGCTAAATCCGCGGCCAGGGCTCTCCGCTTTCGGATTTCGGACGGGGGGAGGCCAAAGAGAGGGCTATCGTAGGACATCTTAGCCCGCACGTTAGCATTAAATAGGAGCTTGCTCTTCTTACGTCGGGCCCGTCCCAAACTAGCGAATAAACCGGCCCTGGTGGCCCGAATTTTGCCGAGTCTACTCCTTCTTGTCGCCGTTTTCCTGGATCTGCGTATCCCCATGGTGTTGTCGGTCCCCAGGTCCTTCATCTCCTTGCCTTTCTTGATGGAAATATTAAACTCGGCCAGGGACCTCTCCACCTCCAGGGCGTCCTGGGGGTTCTGGGCAAGGATGGTAGACTTGTCGGAGATCCTGAGCCTCGCCTTGAGGCAGCCTCCAACCAGGACACTCGCTGCTTTCGACACCGCTGCACCTACCACGTCGTCAGGGCCCTCGACCCTCACGGTGATGTCGTCCACGAACTGTCTCAACCTCGCTATCGGGACGGCTAGGTGTACTTCTTCTAGCACATGATAGAGTAGTGCTCGGGCTCCGTGGTTAGCTTTCCCGCATCCTGGTACCATCCCATTGTCAGGAACGATCAGGTCACTGTAGATCTTATTAGCCTTGACTAGCCTAGGGCAGAGGTACGACATGATGCACATGTACAGCTCTACTGGGGGATACTCGACTTGCGCAGCACGTACAGCTAATATACCTAAGTCTACCAAATCGTAGAACTTCTCTAAGTCCTGGAAGAAAGTAGCTTGGCTGGCTTCGTCTAGATTGGCCCGTGTTTCGTCCAGAACAAGTGTTAGCAGTGCCGACTGCAACGCCGAACTCTTCCTGACGGCCGCATCCCAGAACCCCGCTTTTCGATCACACCACTCGGTTAATCGTTGTTTGGTCATCTTACCCCAGACTCTCATCGTCATCGGCATCAGCCCTATAGGCCGCTCTTCCCCCGCTATTTGTTTGTCCCCCTTTGGTGGTAGGGCATACCATATCTGCATTATCTGATGTGGCCAAGTCAACTGCCTCTCACACATATTCAAGATGATGAGGAAGGATTCCTTGCACGACGGGCTGAGCGCTCGCAACTGGTCTGGCGCCCATTGATCAGCACCAAGCCCTGTCCCCGCGTGGAAGCTGCTCAGCGCCATGTCAAGGCACTCACGCGTGAGGAAGGGCCTTTCAGCGAGCGCCTCCTGTGCCTTGCTCCTCAGGTCGTGCATGGCTTGCGGGAGCTCCTTTGTGGCGAAGTCCTTGTGAGCCGTCCATCGCCTTTCCCACTGCCGTCGTCGAAGTTGAATTCCTTTCTGCGGGTCCATCTCCCACTTCCTGGTGTCTGGGTCCAAGCATCCATCACTCGTGTCGATTCGCTCCTCTGAACTCAAATACCGATGTGCTCCTTTCATCGCATTGTCTGTTGCCTTCTTGGCCCATGATCGTACTTGTGCTCGAGTGTCACGCCAGGCCAGGGCAGCATGACGGGCTGCGCGTCGGAAAACTTCAGCTATCAGTTCTGCTTCTTCCGATGCTCCGTTCTGATCTGCTCCTGTTCGGTCAAGGGGCTCACCTAGCTCAGACCTCAACGTCACGGAGGGCCCACCTGGCTCGATCAGGGTGGTGGGGGAGTCGAGGGGCTCACCTAGCTCAATCCTCATCTGCTCCTGCCCACTGTGGCCTAACCCCTCGCCACGCAGGGGGAAATTACCGCTGTCTGTGCTGCCATTGCTATCACGAATCCAGCAAGCTTCCTGTCCGCCCGCGCCGCTCGCTGGAGCTCCCTCCTCCTGTGGCTGGAGTGCCCAGGGCGCGGGTCGTCCAGGTGGCGACGGCGATCCAGGGCTCCCTTGCGGGGCCCTGGAGCGTTCTGACATCCACGTACAACCAGTAGACAGTGTCATCGAAGTAGAACTGCTAGCACTTCCCGTCGCTCTTGGCCCCAACCCCGTAGAGCGGGCCAGTTGGGGCAGCGTACTCCCAGTAGACGGCGTCGGAGGTGTCGTTCTGCTTGCTTCCCTCGTCGCTCGTGGTCCCAACCCCGTAGGGCGGGCCAGTTGGGACAATGAACCCCCAGTCGGTGGAGCCATCGGTGTTGAGCTTCCCGCCATCAGGGTCCCTCGTGTCCCCAACCCCGTAGAGCGGGCCAGTTGGGGCTGCTCAGTAGACGGCGACATCGAAGTAGAACTGCTCGAACTCCCCGACGCTCTTGGCCCCAACCCCGTAGAGCGGGCCAGTTGGGGCGGCGTACTCCCAGTAGATGGCGTCGAGGGTGTCATAGTGCTTGCTGCCCTCGTCGCTCGTGGTCCCAACCCCGTAGAGCGGGCCAGTTGGGACGATGTACCCCCAGTCGGTGGAGCCGTAGGTGTCGAGCTTCCCGCCATCAGGGTCCCTCGTGTCCCCAAGCCCGTAGGGCGGGCCAGTTGGGGCTCCTCAGCATTACTTGCCATCGCACCATCCCCCTTTGCTTCAGCAGCCTCCTCCTCCAGCTGCAGCTGCTGCAGGCTGGGCTCGTCCGCCTCCGCATCCATATGCTCGTAGGGGTCGTCCTCGCAGTCCATACTGCTGGTGGCCACTGGTGGGACAATCTCCGTCGCCTCCTGCTGGGTGCCGCTCACTCCGACCTTTCGCTGTTTTTTTGACGGCTTTGGGCCCAACGGTCCCCGCAGTGACTGACGCGGCTGACCTGCTAGATACTGCGTCAAGTTGAGCAGCACCCTGCTGTCCTCCTCCTTGTCCCAGTCAGTGTCCTGCTTGCCGCCCTTGGCCTGATCGATGAACTCGATGCGCTGACTGAGCGAGCGCATGACGTTCTCAACCAGCCTCAAGTGTTCATCCTTCTTCTGCCGCGCCTTCAGTATTGCCAACTCCCTCAGTCTGGCCGCCAAGGCCTCCCACAGATTCGCCTTCTCCCTGAGGGCCGCGTCCAAGAAGGGGTCTGTCTTCTCTTGCATGGTGACCTTGCGCAACGTGAACTTGGGGTTGCATCCTCTGCGCACCTTCTCTTTTGGCTTGGCATCCGTCATGATACACAGTGACTGCTCCGCTGCTACTGACCACTCGCCAAAGTGGTAGGCCAGCTTGTTTGAACCCTCAGGGTCCAGGCGATACGCCCAGGATTCTGCCACATCATCAACTGGGTCTTGGACCGCTCGTCCTCGGGTGTCTGCCAGCGCCTGAAACCACTGCTCATCGCTGGTTGTCTCTTTCTGCTTCGTGGCGTACGTCGTCTCCAGGAGATGCCCATACTCATCATGATGCAGGTCTCCTGGTGTCGCTGCATTCTCATCCCGCTCTGCTGCTGCTGCCACCATCTTCTGATACTTCTCACGATCACGTTGGGCTCGCTTGAGTCCTTTCTCTTTGTGGGCCGTGGTGGTGGCGATCTCGATCTTCACTGGCTGGATCGGCATCTGCACCTTGACCGAGGCGGGTCGCGAGTGCAGGCGCAGGTGGAGGCCAACGTGTGGGCTCCATGGTACATCCCTCACAGGCTTGAATTATTTCACAAAAGGGCGAAAGTCTCGCGAAGCTATCCCGTAATCTATGAGTCTGCCTTTGCCTGTGGAACATGTGACGGTGCAATCGCTTGGTATCAGCAACTCTCCCCTCAGAGCCTTCAACCATGGTGACTGCTGCATCTGCGTCGGTGTGTTGTTCCAATCTCCGAGTGCAACCCATGGCACTCCTAGGGACTTCACCACTCGTGTCAGCTGTGCCATCTTGGCGACGTTCGCTGGTCCATCAAGTCCCACACTGCAATCAAGATACACCGAGATCAAAGCCAGCGTTGCCCCTTTCAAACGCCAGAGGATGATCGAGATGTCGCGCAGTTCTTTCTGAAATACACTGTGCCCCGTGCCATCGGGCAAGTGTGCTGCCGTGACGTGGCCTGCTCTGGCAAGCCAGCACGTCCCCCCTTGAGTACCAGACTTACTCCGCATCGATGGTGTCGCAGGCGTCCACGAGAACTGTGATTGCCACCCCTTGAATCTCAGTTTCTTGATCTCCTGCTTGGCGGCCTTTGGGAGCAGGTGATGCTCTGCTAAGCCGATCATGTCAAAACTGCAGTGCTCCACATAGTGTCGCACCTTTTCCCCGTAGTGCGTGACATTGGCGAACAGCACGTCCACATAGCCACACTTCATTCGTGTAGGTCGTTCTTTCTTTGTGTTGACGATGGCGCTGTCAGGAGCTCGACGGTGCAACGCTGGCTGCCCCTTTGGCCCTGGCACGGAGCGCCGCTGTCTTGGCAATGTACTGGTCGATCGCACTCGGGTCCGTGAAGTCCACCGCCTCTGGGGTTGACGCTGCGGCGGTCTCGTCTGGTTCCGCAGCTGTTCCTTGGGCTTCACCTCCCGCTCCTCTGCGCCTCTTGATGGAGTTGTGCAGCGTTCGCAGCCTCTCTGCAGCCTCACGTGCCGCTTTGCCCGCATCAGTGGCCGACTTGAGCAGGTTGCGAGCCTTCTTGTGAGCCGCTGCCGCTTCTTCGTACTGTTTCCGAGTGGGTTCATCGAGGGATGCCAATTCCTCAGTCTCCAACTCTGGGAAATCTTCTTCATGTTCTTGATGTGCCTGTTGTGCTTGCCGTGCGTCCGACTGTGGTCCTCCTGCCTTGGTCTTGCCCACCAGTTCGTCGATCTCGGACTGCGCAGACTGGCATTCATCGATGTTGGTCCTGAGCTTGGTTTGCATATCTTTGAGAGTCTGGGCCGCCTGCAACAGCTGGTTCTTGATCCGCCCCTGCTGCGCCTGGAGCTGGCGGAGCTGTTGCGCCTTCTGTGCCAGGCGCTCCACCGGTGAGGCCTCTGGTGGCGGCTTCCACGCAGCTTCCAAGTCTGGGCAGACGGCCAGGAGCTTGGTCTGGCCCTCCTGATCTCCGTCCTCCTTGGCCTTGTTGAACTTGGGGAGGAGTACCTGGAGGATCGGGTCCAGGCCAACTCCGCTTCCCTTGAGACATGATCGGAGGGGCAAGCTCGCGCCTCCCTCAGTCTCCCCCAGGTCGAACGTGACAATCGCCCTGAGGGAGGAGGAGGAGGAGGAGGAGGAGGAGGGAGGAGGAGGAGAGGAGGAGGAGGGGGATGCGGAGGAGGAGGAAGGGCGGGGGGAGGAAGCCAACGACGGGAGAAACGCAGGGAGGATGATGAGAGGAGGAAGAGGAGGAGGAGGAGGAAGAACAATCAGATGTGGAAAGCAGAGAGGAGGAGGGGGAGCGGAGGAGGATGAAGGGAGGGAGGAGGGAGGAGGAG